ACCGCATTTCAAGAAAGATGTGGAAAAATTGGAAAGGGTCCAGAGAAGAACTGGGTTTGTTTAGTTTGGAAAAGAGAAGAGGATGGAGAAAACTTGTTCACCTTAGCCTCTAAGGATAGAACAAGAAGCAATGGGCTTAAACTGCAGCAAGGGAGGTCTAGGTTGGACATTAGGAAAAAGTTCCTAACTGTCAGGGTGGTTAAACACTGGAATAAATTGCCTAGGGAGGTTGTGGAATCTCATCTCTGGAGATATTTAAGAGTAGGTTAGATAAATGTCTATCAGGGATGGTCTAGACAGTATTTGGTCCTGCCATGTGGGCAGGGGACTGGACTCGATGACCTCTCGAGGTCCTTTCCAGTCCAATAATCTATGAATCTATGAATTTTGGGTTTGCCCTCCAGAGGGGAGGTGGGCACTTGAGTACTGGGCCATTCCTTAGCTGAGCTGTGTGTGAAGCTGCAGTTGGGTGTATGCGTGCTGGAAGGGGCTTGAGAGCTTGTCTCAACAGTACAGTGTGAAAGGAAGCCCGGGCTGGTGGGTCAGGTGGGCTCAGTGGTACACCAGTTCCAAGTGGCACCCCAGGAGAAACCCGTCACACCCACCATCCAGGGCCAGGCATGCCAGCTGGCACAGTGACCCTCCCCCATCAGCCCTGGTCTCTGAGCACAGCCGCTGGCACCGTACCCAGCCCCTGTCTGCTCTGGTCTCTGAGCACAACAGTATGAGTAGCGCTGTTCCCAACAGGGAATGGGCCCCAGATGCTCGGGGGACAAGACTCCATCAATCCAGGATCCGAGCAGCTAGAAATCATGTGGATTGGTTTGTTTGCAGGGACTCTTCCAGATCTACCCACTGCCAGAGGACCCCAGCTCCCCACCACCGCCGCGCCAGTTCCAGGAGCTGCCCGAAAGCCAACCCCAGAAGTGTCTGGTCCGGGTTTACATCGTCCGGGCCTTTAACCTCCCGCCAAAGGATAGAAACGGCCTGGTAAGTGCCCGGTTCTCACCCGCTCTGCACACTGCTCCCCCCCACCCAGCACCCATTCCCTGTGGTACTGGGACAAAGCTCCTTGGGCTGGTGCGCTGCCCTGGAAGAGTATCGGCAGTGCCCTAATAAAGCTACGTCCGGGCATTTCAGATCCGGGTCACTACAGTGCTAACAGTAGCCGCGGGGGTGCTGGAACTAGGGGCTACTTTTAGTGCCGTAGTGCGAGCCTGCAGACCCAGGCCCTGGGCAGTTGCTGCTGTGGGGCGGTTTGCCGTGTGGATGTATCCTAAGGGACCTGACAATCCAGAGCCCTGCTCGTGGCAGGCTCCAAGGGGTTAACTGCTACCCAAGTAGTCCAGCTCTGACTGATGCTGCGGGCACGGCCGGGTCTGTGTGCCAGCCTGCCTGTTCCGGGCCCTGCCGGGGAGAGATCAGCTTGTGCCCCTCAAGCTTCAGTCCAGTGCCCAGGCCCGTCTGACACAGCCTGGGAGCCCCTTTCCGGCTCCGCTCCCACCCCCCAATTCCTGGGTGTGACAAGAACAGAGCGAGGCACTAAGGGGACATTTATTAACTGCCCCTTCCTGGCTGTGTCCCCTCCAGTGCGACCCCTACGTGCGGCTCACCCTGGGCAAGAAGAAGCTGGGGGACAGAGACCAATATCTGCCCAACACCCTGGAACCTGTCTTCGGCAGGTAAGTCCAGCCTGCAGCTCTCCAGAGCCCCCGGGCAGCTCGGGGGCTGAACCCTGCCCACCCCTCCTGGAGCTGCACGGATCCCCTAGCAGCCTGGAGGGAACAGGTCAGAACAAAGGGAGCATTGCCTGGTAGTGGGCAAAGGACAGGTGGGCACACCCCTTCCCTCCAGGGTGCAGGCTCTCCGTGCCTGTTTGCGGAGACACCAGGCAGCAATGTATTGGTCATCTGGCTATAGAATGCGAGCGTCCCTAGATTAGCACAGGGTGGCTGACAGCTGGAGCCGTGAAATTGACAAGGGGGTCAGTTTCACTGCTGGTAGGGGGCCTGTTTTGAAAGTGAGGGTGGGGGTTCCAGCCAGGCTCCAGCTGGGAGCTTGGCAGCAAACCGAGAGCCTGGGCTCTCAGCCCCCCACACTGCCCCTGTTAAGTCGGTACAAGCGCTCCTGGTGAGGACGCGCATCACCGACAGGAGGAGGGCAGGGCAGTGTGGACATGAAAAACCGCAGTCATTCCTGCAGTGGCTGTAAGTCGACCTAATATAGGTCAATTCAATTGTGTAGTGTGAACCTGGCCTCTGTCTAGGTCAGAGCCTTTGTCGCTGGGTGTGTCTACACTGCAAAATAATCCCCGCAGCAGCAGCCAGGCTCTGGACTCAGGCTTGTGCCCAGGCACTTAACAATAGCTGTGTAAACGTTCCCTGGAGCTCGGGCTGTGAAGCCTGCGGGGGAGGGGTCTCAGCCCAAGCTCCAGCCCACGTGGGAACGTCAGCGGGGCCGGTTAGCGCCACAGCACGAGCCCGAGTGCGTCGAGCCAGGCTCTGAGACTCGCTGCCCCTGCGGGGTTTCACGGTGTAGACGTACAGTGTGAGCTCAGCTCTTCCACCTTCCGCCTGTCTCCTGTGTCCTCCAGCTGCGCTTTGCTTCCCTGCAGAGAGGGGGGAATCTCCTGCTCCCTAAGAGTGACTGTCCATTCACAGGTGCAGGCCCCAGGCAGTTTGTGATGGCTCTGGGCTCTAACCAGAGGGAAACTGAGGGCACATAAACCTATTGCCAACATTCCCACGTTCGGCATGGAGCTTGGCCCTGCTGTGCCGTGTGCATTTCCTTTGCAGCGTGCAGCTGCCTTGCATGCAGAGGGGGCAAAGGTGGGATGGCTGGGCCCATGCCAGGCCCGGCCCGGAGCTGCAGAGCAGTAAAGCCCCAAGACCATCTCCTCCTGCCAGGGACTCGCTGTGCTGTGTGAGCTTTCCCCAGGCTCTGGGCCTCCCCAGCCCCCCAGGGCTCTGGCCGGGGCAGGTGGAAGGCAGAGCTGAGGCGAAAAGCCCTCGGGCTGCAGAGCGAGCTCCCTTCCCGTTCTTTGTCCTGCCCGCCAGGGTGTTCGAGCTCCCGTGCACCCTCCCGCTGGAGAAGGACTTGCAGATCTCGCTCTTTGACTACGACCTCATCCTCCCTGACCAGAAGATAGGGGCCACCAGCATCGACCTGGAGAACCGGCTCCTGTCCCGCTTCCGGGCCAACTGTGGGCTGCCCCAGTCCTACTGCATGTGAGTGGCCAGCACGCCATCCTGCCGCCCCCCAGCTGAGCCAGGGCAAGGCCGAGGTCTTTCCCTGCTGACTGGGCTGTGGAGCTGGGGCCAAGCCCCCCCAAGAGGATTTCAGCCTGGGTCGGTGCCTCCCCTCGGAAGCCAGCCACCTTGAGATGCCATTGAGAGTGGTGGGAAAAGCGGGCGTTGGGCCCAGTACAATCAGGGGCACCAGGGGTAGCCGCATCCCAGCACTTATCTGGCTCTGCTGCAGAAGTGATGGGGTCCCTTGGCCTCTCCCAGCAGTACTCCGGTCAGCCTGCAGCAGGGCTCTGGCCCTCTGTCCACACATATCTCTCTCCCCGGGGAGCTGCAGGGGCCTGCTGTGCCGGACGAGGGGGCAGAGGTAGGGATGGGGCGAACGCTGGGGGTGCCAGTAAGGAGGGCCAAGGTGCAGGGGCAAGAACCGGATGAGGAGCATGGAGGAGGGGTCGGGGCAGACCAGTCCCAGTTTCACTTGCACTGGGGTCACTGGGGAGCCCCCACCCATGGTTAGAGCACAGGACAACCAGCCAGGAGCCGGGATCCGCTCCCAGCAATGTCACTGCCCTGCTGGGCACCCTTGGGCAATCCCTGGACCGCTCTGTGCCTCAGTTTCCCCTCTGGGGACAATCCTGCCCAGCCCTGGAATGCCCCCAGTGTGCTCTAATCCCAGCACAGCCGGCCCTGGGGTCAGAGAGCTGAGCCCAAGCTTCGGGGTAGTCGGTTATAATGCGCCCAGCTCCACGGCCTCACCCTGACCCCTGCTGCCTCCCTTCCCTGCCCCAGTTCCGGCCCCTGTCAGTGGCGAGACCAGCTGCTCCCCACCCAGTTACTGGAGAACTTTGCCAGGATGAGGAGTCTGGCCCTGCCTGAGTTCAGCGCAGACGGGGGCAAAGCCAGTTTCATGGGCAGGGCCTTCCTGCTGGCGCAGTTCGGTGAGTGCCCAGGGGCCCCAGGAGAGACAAGTCAGACCCTGTCCTTGGGCGCTGCAGGCCCCTGGGCGGGACACGGGGTTCCCGGGGCGCTGCGGACCCTGGGGGGGACACGGGGTTCTCGGGGCACTGGGGGCCCCTGGGCGTGGCACGGGGTTTCTTGGGGCGCTGCGGGCCCCTGGGCAGGACACGGGGTTTCTCGGGGCACTGTGGGCCCCTGGGCGGCACACAACCCGTGCTCCATGTCCCTCTACTGTGCTTGGCTTCCCTGTCTCAGAGAGCAAGGTCCCTGCGCACAGTCACCTGGGGCCCCCAAGAGAGCGCCTGGCCCTGCACCTGCTCCAGACCTGCGGGCTGGTCCCCGAGCACCTGGAGACCAGGACCCTGTACCACAGCATCCAGCCCGGCATTGACCAGGTAGGGCACCAGAGCGGTGAGCCTGGCCCCTTACCAGCAGCTTCTGCACCCCAAAGCCACCGCAAGAGGATGTGGCGAAGCAGCTTTACTGGGACAAACCCAGGGAACGGGTCTGTTACATGGGACAAGGGCCTGGCCGCTCAGCACTGTCCAGCCGCCCGCTGGTATAGAGCACGGAGCCAGGGCTGGTGGTCCCAGCGGGTACAGCCGATGGGGGCAGCCCAGAGACCTGGTGCCTTTGCGCAGTGAAACGGCTGCGTGACCAGGACGCCCCGGATCCCAGCTGCCCTGGCTCCCTGGCTGCGGGTCTCGGCTGCCCCACCCTGCGGGGTGTATTCACGCCGTGTGCATACACCCGAAATGTGTGTGCATGTGAGAGAGCTGTACAGTGGGACTGCATGTGTATGCATGTGGGGTGTGTGCGCCTGTGTGTGTGTCTGTGTGCGTGTCTGTGTGCCCCTGTGTGTGTGTGTGCGTACGTGGGGGGTGTGCACCTGTATGTGTGTGTGTGTGTGCGTGCAAGCACACATGTGGGGTGTGTGTGCCTGTGTGCGTGCGCATGGGGGGGTGCGCCTGTGTGTGTGTGTGTGCACACATGGGGGTGTGTGCACACATGGGGGTGTGTGCACACATGGGGGTGTGTGCCTGTGTGCACGTGTGTGTGTATGTGTGCGCGCATGTAGAGAGGATGCACTTGTATGTGTGTGTGCGCGTGCACATGGAGTGTGTGTGCCTGTGTGCGTGTGTGTGTGTGCACATGGGGTGTGTGCGCCTGTGTGTGTGTGTACGTGGGGGGTGTGCACCTGTATGTGCACCTGTGTGCGTGTGTATATGTGTATGTGTGCACGCATGTAGGGGGTGTGCGCGCGCATGTGAGGTGTGTGCACCTGTCTTTGTGTTTGTGTGTCTGTGTGCGCGCGCACGTGGGGGGGTCTGCGTCTGTGTGTGTGCGTGTATGTGTGCATGTGGGAGTGGGGGCACGTGGGGGGTGCGTGTGAGAGTGGAGGTGCGGGTGTGTGTGTGTGGGAGGTGGGGAGCTGGGCGGGGGGGAGGTGGGAGCGGGTGGGGGGTTTATTTTGGTGGGGGGATGCGTGGCCCCAGACACCAGCTGGCCAAGAGCTGCGCAGGGAGCTGGTCGGGCCATGGGGGAGAGGACGGGAGGTTCGTGGTTGTTCGAGGAGGCTCCGTCCTCTCCCAGGACCTGGGGGGGGGGTCCCCAGGAATGGTAGCTCCTCCTGGCCCGTCTGGAAGCTCAGCCAGGAGCCAGGCCCCAGCGGGGGGGCGACGCGGCCAGCAAGTGCTCTGGGGTGACCCTGGCAAGGGGGCTTGGACACAGGGCGAGGAGCCGGCCTGGGCCCGGGCTCGTGTTGATAAGTCGCCTGCTCCCGTCTGCTCGGCAGGGGAAGCTGCAGATGTGGGTGGACGTTTTCCCAGAGAGTTTTGGCCCCCCAGGCCCTGCCTTCAACATCACCCCACGGATGCCCAAACGGTGAGTGGGACAAACCCCCACTGCCCTAGGCAGCTTCCCGAGCCGGTGAACCTTGGCACAGCGCAAACCCAGCACGCCCAGGAGAGGGCTGGCAGCTCTGGGGCAGTGTGCAACCCCACAGAGCCTGGCCAGGCCCCACTTCCCCCAGCCTGCCACACTGAGCACAGGGGCCAGGCCCCACCTCCCCCAGCCTGCCACGCTGAGCACAGGGGCCAAGCCCCACTTCCCCAGCCTGCCACACTGAGCACAGGGGCCAGGCCCCACCTCCCCAGCCTGCCACGCTGAGCACAGGGGCCACGCCCCACCTCATCAACCTGCCACGCTGAGCGCAGGGGCCAGGCCACGCTTCCCCCAGCCTGCCATGATGAGCACAGGGGCCAGGCCCCACCTCTCCCACCCTGCCACGCTGAGCACAGGGGCCAGGCCCCACCTCCCCCACCCTGCCATGCTGAGCACAGGCGCCAGGCCCCACCTCCCCCACCCTGCCATGCTGAGCACAGGGGCCACGCCCCACCTCTCCCAGCCTGCCACGCTGAGCACAGGGGCCGGGCCACACTTCCCCCAGCCTGCCACTCTGAGCACAGGGGCCGGGCCCCACCTCATCAACCTGCCATGCTGAGCACAGGGGCCAAGCCCCACTTCCCCAGCCTGCCACGCTGAGCACAGGGGCCAGGCCCCACCTCCCCAGCCTGCCACGCTGAGCACAGGGGCCAGGCCCCAGCCCTGGCTATGCCCCATCTGCAGCTCCTTCTCTGAAGTGTGAAGCCTGCTCTGGGCACACTCTCCCCTTCAGTGCCGCAGGTGGGGAGTTCTCTGAAAGCCAGAGGTCAGTGGAGTCTCCCATTGCCCGGGGACTCCCATGGCCTCTGTGTTCTCCAGAGCCCAGGCCCACAGGGCAGCCTGAGGGCACCAGCCCCCAGACCCCTGGGCTGTGACCAGCCTCCAACCAGCCAACGCTGCCAGCGCTGCCCCCTCCCTAGGTACGAGCTGCGCTGCATCATCTGGAACACGCGGGATGTGGATCTGCAGGACACCAGCATCACAGGGCAGAGGATGAGCGACATCTATGTGAAAGGGTGAGGGCCTGCAGCCTGCACCCTTGGGCCCCAGGGATCCCAAGCCACGGGCCTTCCAGGGGACCGCACCACGGCCCCCTGCCAGGCATTCGTGGGAAGCAGCCGACGCCCAGTGGGGATGAAACGGGGCTGGAGCCAGTGACATGAACGCTGAGAAAACGGACAGGCTGAGAGCAGCAGCTCCTGTTCTACGCTCTCGTCACACAAACCTCGGCTGGTGCTTGGGCCCCACAATTCCAGCCTGGGGCTCCTGGGGCTCCCCACCCCACTGGTGCCCCTCAATCCCGACCCGCAGCCCCCTGCTGTCCCAGCCCTGCGGCTCCCCACTCCCCTCCCCACCCCGCTGGTGCCCCTCAATCCCGACCCGCAGCCCCCTGCTGTCCCAGCCCTGCGGCTCCCCACCCCCCTCCCCACCCCGCTGGTGCCCCTCAATCCCGACCTGCAGCCCCCTGCTGTCCCAGACGTGGTCTGCCCACTCTGCCAGTGTCCCCAGTGCTGACCCCCAGTAGCACTGAAGGTAAGTCTCTCTGCATAGCTCAGTGGGTCTCTAATGGGTTGATGCTGGCAGGTGTGGGAATTGCTGGCTGCTCAGTATCAATATAGATCTTGGTTCCTTTCTCTGAGACTTTCTTTGTTCTGTGGGTGTTGAATCGGGACCTTAGCTGAGTGCTCTGGGGCCCAGCCAGTCTGCTGTTGGGGCCTTCTGCAACCAGCCCCTGGCAGGCAGGCAGTGGCAGAGATGCTATCAAGGGCTCTGAGCCAACAACCACCAGCATAAGAAACGACTTCAGAGCAAGCCCCCAAGGTCTGTGTTGGTTGTAGGCAGCCATCAGTTCCTGGGACTGCACTGGTAGAGAGCAGGAGTGGGGCCTGGGGCAGAATGGGGGGTCAAGCACCCCCCGGGAATGCCAGAAGTTAACCCCTATGGGCTCAGGATGTCTCTGGTTTTCTCCCGAGCTCCAGCCGCTCTGGGCCCCTCCTGAGCAGAGCTGGCCCGTCGAGCACAGAGCTAGAAAGGGGGAAAGGCAGGAGGCCCCGAGCTGAGAGGCCTGATCCAGGAGCGGTGGAGGATTCTGCCTTGTTCCAACCCCCCCAGCTCCTCCCAACCCCCCCAGCTCCTCCCAACCCCAAGCTCCTGCACATGGCTCTTCCCATCAGCTATGCACTCCCCACCAGGCATGGGCTAGCTGGGAAGGGAATGGAGTACGGGCATGTGTGATGGGGTAGTCTGCCCCTTAGGGGCAGTACTGCCTACTGGTCAGTCCAGCCCACCCCTGGCATGGCTCTTTCAGATTATGATACGAGGACCTGGGTGATATGGTAAGTAGGGAGGGAACCTGGTACTGTTTCTTTAAGGGCCTGGGCCCAGGAGCCTTGCAGAGTTGGGGATGAGCTGGGCAAAGGGGCTGGTATAAATGCTGCCTCTTCGGGCAGGGCCGGGCAAATGTTGGCAGTCGCTGGGCGTGCAGGGAGGCTCTGGCAGGGTCTGCGTTAACCAGGTACAGTTTCCAGCCAGAGCCGCCTGCCAGGCCCTGCGAGCCTGAGGAGCGAGTGGGGCCAGCACTGGCTGGTGGGTGACAAGCTCTGGGGGCAGGGCTGGGGCTCCGAGACCGAGCAAGCCCCCGGAGGGCACTGGCCACCGAGCGGAGAGGGCCGGCGTCAGAGCACCCTGAGAGCCGGATCCTGCTTTGTTCTGGAGCTCGGAGAATGAGCTTTGTCATAAATCAACTTCCGATTTTGTCACGACTATTTATAGTAACAGTCAGAGACGGGTCACAGACAATAAACAAACTTCACGGAAGCCCGTGACCCGTCCGTGACTGGTACTAAAAATAGGGGAGGGCTGATGGGGGGAGGATGACTGAAGCCCACAGTGGGGGAAGGGAAGAGAGCCCCAGCCCCACTCTATGGGGTGCAGTGTCGCACGGTCAGGCAGGAGGGTGCAGTGTCGCGTGGTGAGGCAGGGTGCCGTGTCGTACGGTGGGACAGGGCAGGTGCAGTGTCACATGGTGAGGCAGGGTGCAGTGTCACATGGTGGTGCAGTGTCACATTTTGGGGCAGGGCGGGTGCAGTGTCGCACGGTGGGTGAGGCGGGGTGCAGTGTCGCACTGTGGGTGAGGCAGGGCAGGTGCAGTGTCACACGGTGAGGCAGGGTGGGGTGCAGTGTCGCACGGTGCTGCAGGGTGCAGTGTCGCACGGCGGGGCAGGGCGGGTGCAGTGTCACACGGTGAGGCAGGGTGCAGTGTCGCACAGTGGGTCAGGGCAGGTGCAGTATCGCACGGTGGGGCAGGGCGGGTGCAGTGTCGCACGGTGAGGCAGGAGGGTGCAGTGTCGCACGGTGGGACAGAGCAGGTGCAGTGTCACACGGTGAGGCAGGGTGCAGTGTCGCACAGTGGGGCAGGGCGGGTGCAGTGTCGCACGGTGAGGCAGGAGGGTGCAGTGTCACGTGGTGAGGCAGGGTGCCGTGTCGCACAGTGGGGCAGGGAGGGTGTAGTGTCGCACAGTGGGACAGGGCGGGTGCAGTGTCACAGGGTGGGGCAAGGTGGGTGCAGTGTCACACGGTGGGTGAGGCGGGGCAGGTGTAGTGTCACACGGTGAGGCAGGGCAGGGTGCAGTGTCGCACGGTGGGGCAGGGTGGGTGCAGTGTTGCATGGTGGGTGAGGCGGAGCAGGTGCAGTGTCACACGGTGAGGCAGGGCGGGGTGCAGTGTCGCACAGTGGGGCAGGGTGCTGTGGGACCCGCATGCCCTACAGCCTCACTTCCATTCACACCCCAGCCTCGGGCTCCTTGTTGCAGGTGGCTGGATGGCCTGGAGGAGGAGAGGCAGAGAACCGATGTCCACTACAGGTCCCTGGGAGGAGAGGGCAACTTCAACTGGAGGTTCATCTTCCCCTTCGAGTTCCTGCCCATGGAGCAGGTCTGCGTCCTGCCTGAGAAGGTGGGTGCTGTTCGCCTTGGGCATCCGCTTCCCTACGGCAGCACTGCCTGCTCTGCCCTGCTCTGGGCCCCACCCACTGACGCAGCTGTTCCGAGGGGCAGGTAGGGCCCTGGCTGTGTTTCAGACTGGCCAGTCCCCCCAGCAGTCTGAACCCGATTCCTGTCGTGCCCCTGGCTGGACTCCCATCATTCTCCGCTATCTGCCTGGGGCACGACCTCCGGCCCTAAATCAGCAGAGGCTGCTGGATGCCCTGCCCCTCTGTGGCCGGGTCCTCCAGCCTGTCTCCTGCTCCAGGTTTGTCCTCTCCCCTCCTGGCCGGAGTAGTGACCCAGCTGACCGGCTTTGGGGCTGGGATGCTGGGCAGAGCACTGGCCAGGCCGGGGGAAAGGGGATTGTCAGTGCTGCCACCTGGTGCAGGGAGAGGGCATTGCAGCACCTTGCCCTACCCCCACAAGCACCTCTGCTTCTGGACTGCCAGCATCATGTGGCCTGATCTGCGCCCTCACATCACGACCTCCCCTGGGGAGCCCCAGGTCCTGCCCCTGCCCCAGGCTGGCAGGCTGCAGCTGTCCACTAATGTGGGGGAGTTTCCACCTGCAAACCCGCCTCAGCCCTGACCGCAGCACCCTGAGCCTCTGCTGGGGCATTAACCTTTCAAAGTCTGCAGACCTATAACCAGCCATTCATTTGGCTGGCAACTTGGAAAGTGCCCCAGCAGCCTGGCGCTTCCGCCCACGCTGCATCCCCTTGGCAGGCCACATGCTGGGGCTGCCCTTTCCCCACCCAGCAGGGTCACCCTGTCCCCAGCTGGTATGTGCTGGCCACAGACCCCAGCCTCTCAGCAGCTGCCCTGCCCCCAGCCTGAGGGGCCCCACTCTGCTTACAGCAACATCTCTGGAGCCTGGATGAGACGGTGCTGAAGGTGCCCCCCAAGCTCATCCTCCAGGTGTGGGACAACGACAAGTTCTCGGCTGACGATTTTCTCGGTGAGGCCTTTCCCCCGGGCGGGCGTTTCCCCTGCAGCCCAGGCGGCCACAGAGTGTTACGTTGGCCCTGCCCACAGGTTGCTGTAGGCACGTCCCCACCTCGCTAATGATCTTGTACGTTTCTGTCCCCAAGAGCAGCCCAGATGCTGCAGGGCCAATGAAATGCAGCCACTTCTGGGGTGCAAAACCATGCCCTGGTCCCTGCACAAAGGGGCAAGAGCAGCCGTGTTGGCAGAGGGCGCTGAATGGCTCCCGTGCAGTGAGGCGCAGCACCCTGGGATCGTCCCCATCCCTCTAGGGCAGGCAGGGCCTCTGTAAGGTCCTCCCTGGGGCACCCTTGGGCAGCGTGAAGGGCTCCATTGCCCTCCTGCATGCACCACCGCCTGCAGCCTGGTCCCCAGGCTGTCCCCTGGGCCCTGCAGTTTTCTTTTGCTGCTTGCAGGGGTTCTGGAAATCAAACTGCTCAGCATGCCCTGCCCAGCCAGGCGCCCCCGGGCCTGCACCCTGAAAATGCTGCAGGATGAGAGCGACTCCCCCACCCCACCCCGCTGCCCCAGGAGAACCTCCCTCTTCAAGCAGAGGCTCGCCCGAGGCTGGTGGCCGTGCGTGGTGCAGGAGGAGAGCAGACAGCGGCTGTCGGTAGGAGCACAGCTGGGCGCTGGTAGCAAGGACACGGAGGTACCCGAGGGGGAAGCGGGGGCTTGGGTGTCCCAGGGGGTTGGAGAATCAGAGGTTTGTGGGTGTGGTTAGAGGACCGATCCTCCTCTAGCTTTAGGCAGGGGCCAGAGAACCCTCAGCACTTCTGGAGGGGGGCGCCTGCCTTCTGCCACCACGGCCCAATTCCCGCCTTGCTTCTCAAGGGCAAGATTGAGCTGACGCTGGAGCTCCTGACGGACAAGGAGGCAGAAGAGCGGCCTGCTGGGAAGGGAAGGGAGGAGCCAAACATGAACCCCACCCTGCACCCACCCGTGTAAGTGGGGGGAGCCAGCTCGGCGGTGCTAATGGGGACCGAGACAAAAGGGGTGAGTTTAAAAATGTAGAACTTTATAAGGGAAAACCCCCAACTTGTGCCAGGAGGATAAATAACGTAGAACATTCCCAGCGACTTCCTGCTTCAACCCAACAGCTTCCCACCTCACAAACCGGTGTGAGCGGGTTGGTACCCACGGAGCAGCCAGTGCCAAACCCTTCCCTGCCACCTTGTGCCTGCGGAGAGGTTCTGACCCAACCCCGGGGCTGCGAACAGCTCTGCGTCCCAGCACCCCCATGCCCAGCCTCCGCAGGAGCAGGGCCGGATTAGCCACCGGGCCTGTGCCCAGGGGCCCCGGAAAAAATCTGCCACCGGCCAGTGGAAGGCCGGAGCCGTGGTCTCTGGGCAGGTGGGGGAAGCCCCCAGCGGCCCCTGACCCTGTCAGGAAGCCCCCGCACCCGACCCTGGTCCCCCACAGAAGCAGAGGAGGGGTGGTGGCAGGGGAAGCCCCAGCACCCAGACCCCTGCTCCAGCCCTGGGATTGGGGGAGCTCTCAGTCCCCACTGCGGCCCCAGGGCTTGGCGCAGGGACAGAGCTTCTCCAGTCTTGGGGCTGCAGTGGGGGGGGGCAGAAAGGAGCAAATGGGTTGGGGGGCTGCAGTGGGGGAGGTGGGAGGGGTGGGAGCCTGGGTGGAAGAGGGGCAGCCCCAGGGAAGGGGCAGAAAGGGGCAGGGCTGCATAACCAAAGGGCAGGGCGGGGGCAGGACCGCAGGCAGAAGGGGTGGGGAGGGACCCCCACTTGCTCTGACCCAGGGCCCGCAGGAGTATCCCGGAGCAGTCCCCTCCCCACTGCTCGGACACAGCACTGGGCCGTTCCCAAGGCCTTGCTGGGGGTAACTGGAAGCCCCAGAAAGAGTCCGGCCCATTGCCCGGTCCCAGGGCAGCCCGGGGTCCCAGCTGGGCCAGGGGCTGGGATACCCTAGGGCACACTGGGAACGGCTGCCCTGGTACTGTCTCCTCCCTGCAGGCGCCCAGAAGCCTCGTTCCTGTGGTTCACAGCCCCCCTCAAGAGCCTGCGCTACATCCTCTGGCAGCCGCACAAGTGCAAGATCATCCTGGGGGTCGTGCTGTTCCTGCTGCTGCTCCTGCTTGCAGCCTTCATTTACGCCACCCCGGTGCGTGTGCCTGCAGGGGGCCCAGGAGCCAGCAGGGGTGGGGGCCCCCTGCCACGAGCCCTGGGTAGGGCTGCAGGCACGGAGGGAGAAACACTGAGTCTGCCTGGGGCAGCGGCGCCACCCTGCCCTGGAAGGGCCTCAGCCCAGCCCCACAGCCCTGCTCCCTGGGGCTGAGTGCTGGGCAGAGCAAGGGGAGGGGGAGCCAAAGCTGGGCTGTGGGGGTGGGGGGATGGTGTTGTGCAGGGCACTGGGCATTTGTGGAGGGGATGTTGGGCAGGGGGGGGGCTGTGTGGCACGACCTGGGTCTCCCCCCCTCCGCCCCCCAGGGAAGGGACACACTGCCAGCACAGGGCCGGGCAGGCCACTGTGCATCTGGCAACTGCCGGTTTGTAACTAATGCCCTGCACTGCGCTGGGCAAAGTGGGGCCGCCCCTGCCCTGCCCCATTGCCCCTGGCCAGCCCCTCACTCCAGGGACTGACACCCCCTGTCCCACGCCATGCTCCATGGGGGCCCATGAAAGGTTAATCCAGCCCTGCTCACTGCAGGGTGCTGGCCCCTGGAGCCAGCTGAAGAGGCAGACCCCAAGCTGGCTAGAGGACATGGTGCTGCTGCAGGGCCTGACTCCCTCTCCCTTCCTCTCCCCAGCGCTACTTGGCCATGAAGCTGATAAACCCCTTCCGCAGTCTCCATTCCTTCGGGAGCCTCAATCCTCTGGCAGGGAGCAGCGGGAGCCCGTAGGCGACAGGCCAGCAGCAGCACACCCAGCCCAGCTCCATGTCCTGCAGACAGACAGCGCCTGCTGTCTCCTAGCACAGGGAGACCTGGCCCTGCCCCCCAGCCTGGGGAGTTGGGCAGCAGCTCCCCTTTCCAATTCACCACCCGCTGCCTCCCGGTCACCCGGATCTTCCCTGAACCCAGAGAGCAGCTGCCAGTCCTACCGCTCCCTTCCAGCACAGGCTCTGCTGGCCTGCGCTACTCCTGCTCCTCCCGCTGGGGGCCAAGGGCCACTGACCGCAGGCCAGCGAGGCTGGGACTAGCTCATCGGCTAGAAAGCAGCCCTACTCCCAGGCGAGTCATTCTCTGGGCCAAAAGTCTTCAGGAACAGTATTCCCCAATAAAGGCATGGAAAGGAGGCCCTTCACCTTGGCTCGAGTGTCAGAAAGATTTTCTTTAGTGCCTCGCTCAAGGCGTGTGGGGTGCTGCACAGAAGCTGCATCCAGAGATGAAACCCTGAGCTCCAGCTCCTGGCCACTAACTATTTCCCACCCAGCCTGCTGGGAAAACCCTCGGCTTCTCTCCTTGCCTCCTGAAGCAGTTCCTGGTCAGTCTTCTGGGCTCTTTGCGCCCGCGACAAGTCTTGTTAGGGCCAGCGCTGCAGGGGCTGGGAGAGGCAAGTCCCAGCAGGAGCAAAGCTGCCCCCAGGACCCTTTCATCTGCCCAAGGAGAGAGCTGTATTTCCATGCTACCACCAGCAGGTAGTATGAAATACCAGTGACCCATCACTCTAGAGGGATTGAGTTGAGCATAACCGGGCTCCTAGAGACAGACACACACTACGCCCGTATCCTCCAGGCACATCTCTGCCTGACTCTCTTCTGGGGAAATTAGGTTTTATCTGTAATTATCAAAACACGTCCCCTGCTTGTTCTAGGTTATTTATGCACCCGCTGGGCCAGCGGCAGGAGGTTTATCTTCATTGTATAAAAGGGCAAAGCATGAGCGTGCTCCCGCTAGCACTTGGCAGGGTGGCTTAGAACTGCTCAGGTAAGGGACTCCAAGCCCAGTGTCCCGCCCAGCAATGCCAGTAGCACTGGGCTGGCCCTGCTCTGGGGAGGAATTAGTCATGGTAAGAGTGGGATTTTTCCCCATTTCACACTTAGTCACTTCAGTGACTGAGATGAGGTGACTGAGGCAGTACTGTACCTACCAGCAGCAGGCTCAGGAGAGCATCTGAAAGTGCAGCTCTTACTCCTACGGTCCCCATGAAACACCTTCCAGGAGTGAAGACATGCACGGACTGACCTAGTGTTGAGCTTTATAGCTACAAGGCAATCAAAACCCCTCCATCCCGGGGCAGCACCCTGGGATTAAGTGCAGTGCAGACCCACACTGGTGGACATTTGTGTGTTTATTTCCAGGACACAAATTACACTTGCAGAAACAGGCACACGTACAGACAGTTCTGTTGATCAGGTAAAATATTTTAAAAGAGGCAAGAACAGACTCAACGCTTTCAGGCTGCCCTATTGCTTTGCCACATGTAAAAATCTCCCCCTACCCCAGAGCCATCCTACCAGACCAAACCCCCCTGCTACAGCAAAGCCAGTTTGCCACTGTCAGAACAGGGGGCTTAGATATGCAGTCATGGGAGAAAACGTACTTTCTGCAGAGGAAGGAAGGCAGCACCTCTCTAAGCCTCATCACTGATTTCCCAAGGCTCTGAACTGTGTTGGGAGGGGAAATAGTGCAGATGGACAAGTCAAAGGCCTTGAAGGCTGGAACTCAAAGATACACAAGCAGGGATCATTTCAACATGGCCTGGTGTTTAGAACCAACATCTAGAGCAGAGGCACCAAGATGTGGCCTGCAGCCACTCCACACTTCAATAAGGCCACATTATCCTATCAGCACAGGAGCTGCAAGGTTTACCATACTGGGACAGCTGGAGTAGGGCTTCCCCCTGCCCTATTTCATCCTCACATCCAGTCCGCCAGGTACCAGGGCAAAGAGCACACAGATTCTCACCTGCACCTCTGCTGATCAGGTCTCATGCCACTGTAACGTCCATCGAATTAAGGCTACAGATTGCAGCATCCATCTGGACACCTGTAGTGGTGGCTCCTGGCAAACAGGGCACACCACCAGCAGAGCTCAGGAACCCTTCGGTTAACAACGCCTCTGCTCTCTGCCGAGCACCAGCTACGATGGCGGCTTCATCTGCGGCCAGTCTGGGCCATGTGCCAGCAGCGCTGCCCCCTGTTAGCACAGCTCCAGGAGCAATGCTGGTGACCCAGCCTGTCCCAGTGCCACTGGCTGGCCGCCTGCAGAGCAGAGCAGGGTTTACATACAAACCAATAGCCAAGACTTTCAAAAGCAATTGGGGATTTTGGGTGCCCAGCCGGAGACCCCTGAAAGGGGCCTGGTTTTCACAAGGGGCTGGGCGCCCTGCTCCAAACAGGGAGGCTCTTTAAGGTGTCTCCAGGTGGGCTCCCAAAAACTGAGGCACTTGAAAAGGAAAAAACAAAAGTCACAAGTCCCTTTTGAAAGTCTTGGCCAATAACTATGTTCTTTAATTAGCTAGGCCATGGCCACCCTGGGATGCGGAGACATCGGGAATCCAGGACCTGCCACCAGGACAGGAGTTGTAAGGGACATTCTGAATCTAAACCTTCCTCCCTCAAAGGGCAGGTTCCTCTGAGGAGTCTGGGAATTCCCTCAGCCCAACCCTTCTCCCCAGCCCAGCCCTGGTTACTGCACCCAGAGATGGCTTGACGGGCAGGAGGAGCTGGCAGGGCCTGGTTTTACTGTCACTGTAACAAGGGCACGAGATCCAGTTAGACGTGGTTGGCTAGGACAAGGGGAGAACATGGCTCTGGTGCATTGGGTTGAGTTTAACCAGACACGGGCGAGCCAAGCCTTGTCCACATTGAGCGCACAGCTCCAGGCCTGTTTACACTACAGAATGGAACAGTGTCAGGGACAAAGTGTTGTAACCAGGTCCCCGGAGATTCTATCTGTACATGTTCCCGTATTCTCCCCCCCTCGGCATCTGTATTATGAACGACTCAGCAGGACCTACAGAAAGCAAGAACTCATTCAAACAGCAGTCACTGAGGTAGGAAATAACTAACCCTCCCTGAAAGGCAGCACAACATTTGTAGAGATCAGAGCTCTCTTTCCCAAGCATGGCTAAAGTCTCCACCAGGCCAATAAACCCTTTGACCTTCCTTTGCCAGCATGCTTCCAAACTCCTGGTTACAGCAGCCAGATGTAGGTCCTTCAGAAACACAAAGGGACCATGTACAAGTGCTGGCATCAGGTTTCTGGGTGAGGAAGAGAGAACTGCCCCTTTTCACATCACACCTACACCACTAACAGGACACAGTGACATGCAAGCAGCCCCTGTGCAAAGGCTGGCTCCAGGCCGAGGTACACAGAAGGGAGGAAGGCAGCACTGCATGCAGACAGTGATCCAGTGGTGGAGGGACAGGCCCCCCGACAGCAGCGAGTGGTTATTACAACGGAACCCAGTGTTAAAACAATCAGTTGCTGGGCGAGTCCATGCATGTGGACAGCAACATGACCACATGAACCCCACCCCAACAACATAACCTGGCTTCATGTGAACGAACGGGAAGTGGGTCGGGACTAGCTGTCCCTTGCCCACCATATTCCCAGCACTGAGTGTCATGGAGCCCCTGCACACAGACGTACTGACCCTTGTGCAATGAGCCCAGGATCCGAACGGTTTCTCGGACAGGCCTGGTCTCACCAAGCTGCAGTGAGACTTTTTAGTGCATATTTCACTAGCAGCAAAACCCCTCAGCCCTGGATGGAAAGCCCAGTTATCGGGGAGAAAGAGGAGGTGACCGTATGCTAGTAGTGGCAGAGTGGAGGCACTGAATGGAAGCAGCTCAGGTCAATTTCCATCAGAGGCCGAGAAGAGCCAGCTGCATCAAGGCCAACCCGCAGCCTGGAAGAGCAGTGCTTTCCCTGCCATGCTGCTGGGACATCAGGCAGGCTCAGGGTGGCACTGGGAGGCCAGTAGCCAATATTTGTGTTCATGCCCAGACCATATTGGGGTGACTGTAAAACGAGGGGTTTTCCTTTAGCACAGCTCCCAGTTCACCTACTTCAAAATGAGGAGCAGCAGTGAGACAAGGAGTATTTCATTCATGGTGCAGGATTCAACCGCGCTATGGCAAAACCAGGATTAAAAGCTTAAAGCTGCCTGGGGCAGATGAGCTCGGCCTTCCCGACCAGCCTAAGGCAGCAAAGCCACCTGCATTGCCACAGACAGGCTGCCAGAGTGAACAGCGGTGGGGCTGGGGGCGGGGCCAGGCTCATGTCCTGCAGGGGCCAGGGAGGGGCCAGCACTACTCTTCTCAACAAGAAGCGTTTTGTTTGGCCAAGTTTCACCCTTAAGCCAAAGGGGCTTTTCTAGGATTTTACAGTCTTCAGTGCCTGGCCTCCTAGCTAGGCAGTGGGACATCCCCAGATAGCACATGTAAGGCTCACCAACACGGAAACAATACAACATTCAGCTCCGCCCGCCCCAAGCGTCCTCTACACACCTTGCAAAGCAAGAGCTGCTGGGGGACGGCCCATCTGTCACTGCACCAACCTCCAGAGTCGGGGGGTTAGGTCTCCCTGATGCACTACGTGTCACACAAAGTGCTCCCCATGTGATCCAGGACGTCCGCTCCCGCTGGGAACCCCAGAGCTCGAAGAGACACAGCAGCGGTCCCCATGGGGGCCAGCAAAGTAGCAGCCACCTGAAGGGGCTCTTGAAAGTCTGGGCTGAGCAGGCAAGGGCTTCTCTTCAGTTAGCCTCTAGCACCTGTGCCAGCCCACTCCAGCAGAGCGGTTGGGCTGCCGAGGGAAGGGGCAGGGCAGGCGTCAAGGTCAGTAGAAGCGTTTCCGGCTCTGTTCCTGCCATTTGTTGTAGACAATGACTCCGATGACGATGGCAAACACCAGGGCGACCAGCGAGAAGAATACAATTAAAAACAAGGCCAGGCCGCTCATGGGTTCCAGTGGGGCCTCCACTGTGGGGCAAAGGCAGAGGGGTACAAGCCCAGGTTAGCCACTGCAGAGACCACACGCTCAGAGACTATGGCCATGGGGCGTACAACCTTAGTTGGGTTTTTCTTGCATTGCCCATCTCTGTGGTGGCCAGGGGAGACAGCCATCCAGCCCCCACCTTCCCCAGCGCTTCATCCAAGATGAGGCGCTTGCGTTTATCCTGAGCTATGGGATTTGGGTTCGGTCTCCGGGGAGATTTCAGAGAAGTGAGAGAGCCTGGCGCAGAGACTGAACGCCACGTGGCCACTAGCCTGCAGAGGATCTCAAAGCACACACAGGGTTTTGGCTACCTCCATCCTGTCTCCAGCGCTTGGAAGCAGTGAGACCCAGGGCATGCTGTGCTTCAGGCACACCTAATCCCTGCTTGAGGCTGTTGGCTGCTCCTCTCTGCAGGGGTATTGGAGAAGCTGACACTGCAGTGAGCACTTGGCAGGGACATCAGCGCTCAGCATTTGGTCACACCGTTCCCTCCTTCTAGGACCATTAGCTAATGGAGACATTCAAGCAGACGGGCTCACAAGCAGGAGCTTCAGCAGATGGTGTGAGGACCCCGCCCGATGAATGGAATAGCCCGCCTGGTGGGGAAAGTAGGTACTTGGTGGTTCCCAGCCTTGCACCTCACCAACCTGTGCGCTACTCACCTCCGGGCAGTTTCATGTTGTCCACAACGGGCAGAAACACCTCTTTATCCCGCTTCTCCTCCTCTGGGCTCCGCTCAACCGTCAGCTGGTAGAGTTTCAGGGAAATTATGTCGTGGTTATCTAGGGGCATGAGAGAAACGTGGTCTTAGACAGCAGACAGGAAGAGGAATCTTGGCCAGGGATGGCAGAGCTGCTGGAAGAGGGAAACAGTGAACATCTGCTTAAAGGGAGCCAAGCACCCATGCACGGAGCAAGCAGAACTCAGCAGGGCAGGGCAGTGCCCAGCACAACAACACAACACACTTTTCCACAAGGGGCCTTTAAGCCACTTCAATTCAGGCTGAGAAATGAGGAGCTGTTCAGCCCCTGATTTAAAGTCCACTCGGCCACCTGAAGGCAGCAAATTAGAATCACCCTCACAGGCGTTCATTGCCTTTGTGTCTGTCTGTCACACATATTAGCAGAACAACTCAACTGCTCCAGCCAGCTGCTCCAATTCCCACAGCATCTGCAGAGGTTTTGGAAATAAAGGAACTTTGCTTGGAGCAAACAATGAATCCAGGCATTGGTGATCAACGTGCTTTTGTAGAGGCTTGATTCAAATCTGTTCTAAACTGGCTTAAGAACTACGGAAGCAGACGGGTCGATACTTTGGGATATTATGGCATACGCTGACTGGAATTCACACAGACGTTACAGGCAAGAGTCTCAATAGGCCAGAGAGCTGTGCATCACTGTCCACACGGCTGGTCCCCTCGCCTATACTGGAAGGAGAAGAGCTAACGGCTCTTGGGCCAGAATGCTCAAGAAGTGCCCTGCAACACTGTGTAAGAGGGATGCCTGCTCTAAACCCCCTGAAGTACGTCCCAAGGCCCCTGTCTATTTGCAGGCTGTGTGCACCAGAGGTTCAGCTGCAGGCAGCCCCCAGAGCCAGGGAGTGGCCGAGGCTGTCAGGGTGAAGGCATGGGAGCGGGCACCTTTGTATTTTAAATACTCGGAATGTTGATGCCAACTCAGAGGAGCCTCCAGCACCTGGCAGAACTTCGGGTGCCCCAAGCCTACAAGCGTCACCTGTGAACTCCTGGGGTTCCACTGAAACCAGAAGGGGGCGGTGTCCCTTTCTGATCGAACACAGGGGCCTTTCAGGCTCAGCGGTTAACGCCAAGGGCCCCTCCAAGGACATGGCTTGGGGAGTTTGGCGCCTCAGGCACCTCCATGCCATGGTAGGTCTGGCCAGAGCACCAGAGGCACTTCTGAAGGCAGGGCTTTCGCTCCCCAGTCACGTAGGGTGCAGCTATCTTGTGTTTAAAACCCGCAGCAGCAAGTCTCAGAGGCAGGTCAACAGACTCAGGCTCACGCTCCAGCACTAAAAGCAGCCGTTTGGCTCAGGCTCTGTAGACCCCAGCTCGGAGACTCGCAGGCACAGCATAGGCCTACCCTTAGCGCTTGTGGAGCATTGGCCAGGTTCACAGCGCAGTACCTGAGAGGTCTCCAGTGACTGAAGAGGTCCCAAAGAAGTATCCCCGTGGCAGGTGGACCCCCGGCATGTCAATACAGTCCCGCCACTCGTGCTTGCCATCAATGTCAATCATGATCTGAAACACACGAGACTTCACTCAACCCAGAGCAACCCAGCCCAGCCCTCCCGACCTGACGTTGCCCTGGGCCTGGAGAGCTCGAGGAGGAGCCACTCACCGTCAGCCTCCTTTTGACATAGCGGATCACCAGGAAGGTGTCGTGGTTCAGGTTGCGCACCATGGCCGTGCAGCCGCCGAGCTCAGTGGGCCGTCCGTCCCGGTCATGGTCGTAGGTGAGAGAGCCATTGTTCACCATGGCAGAGATGTAGGGGAACACGCGCTAGGGGAGACAAAGCCACAGGTTAGTGGTCTCCTCACACTGCTCTGCGGAGGCCTGGCGAGACGAACCATGGGCAGCAGGGCAAATGCATGCAGCCAGTGGAGAATATGGCTTTGCACAGGACACTGACAGCATGGAGCACGACACCAGGGCCGAGAGACAGACAAGAGCCTTGGCCAGCGCTCGAAATTCTCACGCAGCTGGCAGGACCGGGTCTGTAAGGGAGCGAAGTGCTGGCAGGAGGCACTGGACTGACTGATCTCTCCACCACTGGGCCTCATCCCGACTCCAAGGAACCCAGGTCTAGAGAGGGACACGGGCTCCGCCTTCAAGGGGTGTTTTCTCTACAGAGACCGCCCACAACGTCCCATTGCCACCCCTGGGCTGGTGGTTTGTGTGGCATGGACCCCTGCTCCACACAGGACGGGCAGCAACAGTGCTACTGTGCTGGGCTGGCTTTGAGACAGTGACGTCAGCTACCACAGCCCATATACCCCAGCCAGGACACTGTTCATGGGATCACGTGCCTCCTCTCCCCCTCCAAGTTGGGTTTTTGTTTTTTTTAAGATCATTCCACCAAGACATGTGCATTGTGCATCACACTGGGTCCAGCATTCCCACTCTTTTCGATGGGCAACACTGCCCAGAGGCCCAATGGCAGAGTCCTTTCCCAGGTCTGCAGTAGCAGACGGGCTAACCACACCACCGCTGAGCCACTGGTATGTGCAGCTTAATTCATTTCTAATGGACCCTCCTCTATCTACTAGGCAGTGAGAAGACGAGCTGCGGCGAGCAGTGCACCCAGGCCAGACCCCCAGCGTCATGCTGCGTAGCAGGGAGATGCACAAGGTGTGGGAACAGAGGTTTGTTTATTCTGAAATGAAGCAGGAACAGGGATTCATGAGCACAGACCAGCTCGAGAGCTGCAGTGTCTCCTCCGTGTGTAGGAACTGCGCAGCCATGAGGAGAAGCCATAGGAAGAGAGAGGTGCACCAAAACCGCCCGGGTATGCCAGGCCCTGAGCGAGGGACTTGGGGAGGCTGCACACGCTCGACTTCCTTCAGGTCACAGGACAGTAATCAGCAGCTCAGTGCACTCTGGCACAAGCATGCTGGCCAGGGGATCTGGGGGCAGATGGAGAGACTGGCTCTGAACCAGCCAGACCGGCTGCAGCCAGTCAGATAAAGATTTCTGTAACTCTGGCAATGCACTTCCCTCTCCCAGCAAGGTCCCAAACACTCAGGAAGTGCCAATCGACAGAGAGAGTGGAGGGGACTCAGAGGCTGGAAATGAGCTAGGAGCAAGTACCTGATTTCCAGGGGCATACCGCCTCTTCTGAGCCTGAGTCCAGAAGGATTATTGAGAGCAAGAAAGGGTACAAAGCAAGACAGAGTCACCGACCAGACAGTTTAGTATTAACCTGCAAACTGGGAAGGAAATGCACCCTAGGAAACCACCAGCATTGTCCCCTTGCCAAGACTTGAGGGTACCCTACATTTTGCAAGTCATGTACCAAACCACTGAATACATGGCTTAAAAAGGCAGCTGGCAAAAGAAACCCCACACTAATCCTGCCCAGTTTATACCCTGTACTTCCCTTCCCCAGCCCACAGCACAAAACCACATTAACCCAGCACTAACGCCCCAAGCATGCACACCAACAAAGGACTGCTTGGCTGGAATCACCACCACCCAGATCTACAATTCCTCCAGCACCCTTAACTGTGTCATTCACACACAAACGCATGACAGCAGGGTGCTCCCACGGTACACGCAGGGACATGCAGTGTTCACAGTTCAGGAAGTGGCTCTTGGCTTCTCTGAGGCATGTGTCGCTGTGCTAGGGACGGGTCCCAGAGTCACATGGACACCAGTGTCCTGGGGAGCTGGGCACATGAGCCCAAGGCACGAACCCCCGTTTTCACGTGGGACTGAGTCCTGCACCCATTCCCTGAGGATCCCCCATGCAGCTCCACAGATGTCAATGGAGTTCCACAGTGGCAGAGCTCAGAACTGGGCCCAAGCTGAACAGAAATAAAAGCCTCCATTGTGTTTGACTGTCTGGTTAGGACCATAACCAGACGCCAGCACAAATCTGTGGCAGGAGCAAGGCTGCAGATGCTGTCACTTCTCCCTGCGTTGTGACTCAGATTATGATCTTTATCCTCAATTAAACTCCAAGAGCTGGAATAGCATCAGTGGGGCTTCTCCAGCTTCCCGGCATTCTCTAGGAACCAATCGAAGGGTACAAAGGCCCTTCCCAGACCAAGGGCAGGCCAATGTTAATGTTTCAACCAAACCTGACACTGATTCAAGAGCTGCAGATCTGTTTAATCAGTTTCAAGGTCAGAAGCCACCTACACAGCTGAGCTGGTCAGGCACTGGAGTCTAAAGGAGAGCCATGGGGTTCGAATAGAAGGAATCAGCAGGAGGCTAATTTGGGATGATCTCCACACACCTCAGGGGTGGCCGGAAAACAGCCATGTATTTCCCACAACAAGTTTGGAACGATATGACAAATTCTCAACTTGTGCAAAATTTGGCAAAATTGTTCAAAAATTTTTTCACATCTTGGCTACTTGGATTCCTCCTGCCCACTCACTCTAGAGAAATCCAAATGCCTGAAAAAAAACCTTGGTCAATGTCCTGGGAAATTTTCTGATAAAGTGAAAGTGTCTCAAAAATGCTGGTTTCCTTTGCAAGGCAATTCTTCGGTGAAAGCGTGTTTGGGCCCAGCTCTAATACACACACACACACACACAAGTTTAGTCCACTTTTGTTTCAATAACACGTAACAGCACGGTCTCACTGTACAGCTCTAGAGCACAGGAGATGTTCTCCAGAACAGCTTTACAGAAGGACTGTGCAGTAGGCCCTGGCCAGCAAGTACTGGGGTGATCCCGGCAATTAAAGGCCGGTAAGCCTGACTTCGGTACCGGGCAAACTGGGTGAAACTATAGTAAAGAACAGAATTGTCAGACATAGATGAACAAAATTTGTTGGGGAAGAGTCAACATGTTTTTTGTAAAGGGAAATCATGCCTCACCAATCTACTAGAATTCTTTGAGGGGGTCAACAAGCATGTGGACAAGGGGATCCAGTGGATATAGTGTACTTAAATTTTCAGAAAGCCTTTGATAAGGTCCCTCACCAAAGGCTCTTACGCAAAGTAAGCTGTCATGGGATAAGAGGGAATATCTTCTCATGGATTGGTGATTGGTTAAAAGATAGGAAACAAAGGGTAGGAATAAATGGTCGGTTTTCAGAATGGAGGGTACGTCTTCACTACCCGCCGTATCGGTGGGTAGCAATCGATTTATCTGGGATGGATATATCGCGTCTCGTTAAGACGCGATATATTGGTCCCTGAACGCTCTCACCGTCGACTCCAGAACTCCACCAGAGCGAGCGGCGGTAGCGCAGTCGACGGGGGGAGCCGCGGCCGTCGATCCCGCGCCGTGTGGACCCCAGGTAATTCGATCCAAGATACTTAGACTTCAGCTACGCTATTCGCGTAGCTGAAGTTGCATATCTTGGATCGATCCCCCCTGCAGTGTAGACCAGCCCAGAGAGAGGTAAATAGTGGTGTCCCCCAGGAGTCTGTACTGGGACTAGTCCTGTTCAATATATTCATAAATGATCTAGAAAAAAGGGGTAAACAGTGAGGTGGCAAAATTTGCAGATGATACAAAACTACTCAAGATAGTTAGTCCAAAGCAGACTGCGAAGAGCTATAAAAGGATCTCAGAAAACTGGGTGACCGGGCAACAAAATGGCAGATGAAATTCAATGTTGATAAATGCAAAGTAACGCACATTGGAAAACAATCCCAACTATACACATGAAATGATGGGGTCTAAATTAGCTGTTACCACTCAAAGATCTTGGCATCATTGTAGATAGTTCTCTGAAAATATGCACTCAACGTGCAGCGGCAGTCAAAAAAAGCAAACAGAACATTGGGAATCATTAAGAAAGGGATAGATAAGACAGAAAGTATCATATTGCCTCTATATAAATCCATGGTACGTCCACATCTTGAATACTGCGTGCAGATGTGGTCGCCCCATCTCAAAAAATCATATATTGGAATTGGAAAAGGTTCAGAAAAGGGCAACAAAAATGATTAGGGGTATGGAACGGCTTCCGTATGAGGAGAGATTAATAAGACTGGAACTTTTCAGTTTGGAGAAGAAACGACTGGGAGGGTGGGCGGGGGATATGATAGAGGTCTATAAAGTCCTGACTGGTGTGCAGAACATAAATAAGAAAGTGTTATTTACTCCTTTTCATAACAAAAGAACTAGCGGATCACCAAATGAAATTAAGAGGCAGCAGGTTTAAAACAAACAAAAGGAAGTATTTTTTCCACACAGCGCACAGTCAACCTGTGGAACTCCTTGCCAGAGGAGGTTGTGAAGGCCAAGACTATAACAGGGTTAAAAAAAGAACTAGATAAATTCACGGAGGATAGGTCCAACACTGGCTATTAGCCAGGATGGGCAGGGATGGTGTCTCTAGCCTCTGTTTGCCAGAAACTGGGAATGGGCAACAGGGGATAGATCATTTGAGGATTCCCTGTTCTGTTCATTCCCTCCGGGGCACCTGACACTGGCCACTATCAGAAGACAGGATACTGGGCTAGATGGACCCTTGGTCTGACTCAGTATGGCCGTTCCTATGTTGGCATTTAGGCCACTGCTATGCAGAGGTGAAGATCACCACACTACAGGTCCACACTAGCTAGTGTCCAGACACTTCAGACAGCTTCCGATCCCAGCTTGCTGGCAGCCCCCAAATCCCCAAGGGAAATGAGTACAACTGCTTCCCATTTCTCCTTTTCCCATTTCCCCCGCAAAGCATTTGCAGCCATTGCTGGCGGCCACTGCTGGCCTACAGCTCGTCCTAATCGGTGTGTCCAGCCTGCATACCCCGGCCTTGGGCAGCAAGACAATGCCCATCACCATCAGGACTTGCCCTGCAGAGCAGCGATACTTCATACGGGGAGTTGGCAGTGAGGAGAAACTAACCAGAATCACTCAGTCCTTGCGAGGGCTCCTCTACACCAGATGCCATGACACACAGAAGGGGCTGCAGAGGGAAGCTGCCTGGTCTGGCCTGCAGCCCCCTCCATGTATGAAGAGCTACTTGCCTCCTGCTAGTCCCCTGAAGAGGGACAACAAGGAAGTCGGCGAGCTCAAAACCAGAAGGGAAAAGAGACAGGAGAGGGGAGAGAGAGCAGCGTCAATAGCAAGTAAACAAAAGCTGCAGCCATGAGGAGCCGGAGAGGATGCTACATTTAGACTGGTCCGTGATTGGGATCTCTAACATACAGCTGCATTGGAGCTGGAAATAGGGCCAAAGCCTTTTGAACAAGCTAATACGCCAACTCTGGCCTCAAGCTCTGGATGCATAGCCACGGTAATAAAACTTCACATCCATCTCCCACTTCCCTCCAAACTGCCAAAAGGCCGTCTTACCTCCTGCTGCTTCTCCTCATTGGGGTAGGTGTCTACAAACACCCCCAGCCCCAGAAAGTGATCCTTGCTCCCAAACACGGGCCCTAGAACAGATGGCAGATTGTGAACAATGGGTCCTGTTGCTCTCTAGTAGAGACAGTGGGGGGAGTGCTTTCCACCCTGCGTGCGGGTAGATTTACTCCCCAAGCCATCGATGGGCCCCACCTTGGAGCAGAACCACAAGAGTAGCTTGAAGAGGATACAGTAATATTTGGTAGCGTCAGACAGACATTTACCTCCTTGCAGCCAATGAGAACCAGTGGGGCAGCCTCCAACTTCATGCGGATGCCCATTTGAAGGAGTTTTCCCCTAAGGATCTAAGCCAGAGATGCCTCCAAAGGTAGCCTTGGCTTGACACCAGTAGCAGCTCGTAAGGAATGTTAGGAAGTGGCATTCGATGAGTCACCCTTTACCTTCACCCTCTCCCCACAGGGGAGTCATTCCTTGATCCGTGCTTAGGGGGCCTGAAGCCCCCGCCACATAGCACCATCGAGCACTTACAGAACAGCAGAGCCCAGCGCCCATATTACAGGACCAATACCCCGCAGTCCCGAGTTCAATCCCCGGATCTGCCACTCCCCCTCTGCACCTCTCTTCCCCCATCTGTCAAATGGAGACAGCGATACTCTCACCTGATAAATCGCTTTGCAATCTACATAGGAGTGCTAGATAGCCGCGCTCTTTACAAACAATAACTCATGAGGTAGCCAGGCATCCCCCCCATTTGACAGATGGGGAAACGGGAGCAGAGTTTCAGAATACAGGTGTTCCTGGCCCCCAGGCCTATGCTTAGCCCACACACGTCTGATTTCCAGAGCTCTGGAGCCACTGGAGCCTCCAGTAGGAATATGGCTTGCTTTGCACCTCTGAAAATCAGGGCAAGCAGTTTGCTACTGGACAGCTGAATTCATAGCCATGTTGGACTCCTCAGAGCCCCAATCAATGGTCACCCCGAGCTTTCGCAGAGCAATGTCAGTATTAGCTACAATGGGTTCACAGTCACTCCTGGCTCCCTCCTTGTTGGTCCCTGCAAAAAGGAGCAGGATGGCAGCAACTCTAGGGCAGCAGCTACAGATGCAATCTACATCCACAGCCAAGGGCGGCGCTCGTCTGGCCAGCATGTCTCCGCTGGGGCAGGAGAAGGCCAGCAGCGGAGGCTCTGTGCAGCACTTCCCCTTGCAGCCGATGCCTCCGTGAGAGCATTTTACCTGGCTGCATGCGATCCTTGGTGTACCAGATGGCAAAGCCGTCCCCATTCAGGTTCTTCTTGCCTTGCCCGTGGATTTTAAAATGGACCTGCATCTCCCAGTCTCTGAGGTAACAAGGCTGCAAGAGAGAAAGGGGGAGAGTGAGTGCAGCAGTCAGGAGGATTTTGACAATAGACTATTCACAACCCTTCCGACTATTGCCTTGCAGGCAGATAACGTTAAGAAGGGACCCCATGTCAGCTGGGATCTGTTCCGTCTGGATGGGGAGGGACAGTTGCAATTGGTTGCAGTTACAGCTGCTTTTCTGCACAGACAGCGAGCCATGGCACCAACACACCCACCACCTCATGGAAAAGTGCTGGCCTGCCTTAGCACAAATACATCTGCTAAATGGAGCCACACTGCAGAGATGTCTTCGTCCTTTATTTCCCTGGCCAATAGGCTGCACTGCCTTACCTTTCGTATTTCAGCAAGAGTAATTAATCACAGGGGGCACTGTTAAGATTAGGGAACCATGGATATAAAAACAAAGAGCTTGATTCTGATCTTGCACTGTTCTAAGCCAGGAGTAACCAGTGAAATCAGGGAAAGAGATCAAAATCAGGCCAAGAGTGGCCTGGATTTCATCACTATAGATGAATAAATTACCACCCCTTATGAACATCAGATGAAGCGTAGAACCAATCAGGGGCAAAGAATGTAAATAGTTTTATAATAGCCATCCAGACTGGATACGAGTTAGCGGCTAGACAGGTATTTCGACTCCTGGACTCATACCATATGAACAGTCAAAAGCCCACTTCAAAGTCACATCTGAAAACTCATTACATTATCATCAATGCCACAAGACAATGGATTTTAAGAATCCAGTCCATTTTTCACTACATAAGCAGTTCAGTCTCCTGTATTTCATTCAGCTTGAGCAACGAAGCTACACTTGTCAGTTTAATGTTAAGCTGATGTGAACCACAACCACTTCAAGGGAACTGCAAATCCAAACACACACACACTCAGTGACATTTAAAAAAACAAACAAAACAATTTTACAACGTCTCAAAAAGCTACATTTGGGTCCCTGACTACATCCCTTTTTAAGCATTTTATTTGTATTGAATTTCCATATGAAAGAACAGAAAGACCCACAGTCAGACATCTCGCAACAGTGCCCATAGCTGGGGATTGATTGCCAAATGCAGCAGTATCAAGCCCGCTCCACACCACAGAGATGTATCAGAGGTAGGTAGAAACTGACTGTGGAAGGCAGCCTCAGGACAGACAACTAGAACAGGTTCAGGTCAGGGACATGCACTTACATCATCCAGACAATTGTACAGAGATGTGGGAGGCCGCCGAGCTCCATGGAGACAATTTACACAGCTCTTTAATATGAGGCGGCAGCTGTCCAACATACTCTGAAGGCTTTGAGATGTTGGACTTAAAACGGTCTCATTCCATGGACTAAAAAGACATGGCTATTAACAGACAGGACTCTGTCCTCTTGAGCAGAGTATCCCTGACACAGTAGGCTGCAAGAAGAGTACTGACCCGGAAAGGGTTGGTACACCTACAGTGCCTTTGCTCTTGGAACAAGCTACCTTTCTCCAACACATGGTCAACTAGTCTGGACTCAAATGGCCAGGCAGAATCAGACAGGTACTTGTGTGGAGAGCGCAGAAATCATAATAGTTCTACAGGACACTTACTATGGAACTACAGTACATGAAAGCGCATCACTATCTACCCCACAGTAAATTCCATCCCAAACTGTCATGTCTTTGAGTGGCTCCTCCCGTATATCCTATCACAGGACTTAGGCAAGGCAATTCACTGCCTGCACAAAACTCAGACGAAAACTGCAACATTAAAAAAACTGCAGAACCAGACATTATAAGGAGTGATCTGTAGTGCATGAGCTCAACCTGAGCCACCAGATGCAGGTGTGAGGGAGTTGGGACCACTCTGGCCTTTCCATGCTACTAAATGGGAGGGGGCTTCCTGCTAGACCTGTGAGAGATGGGAGGGGGTCCTAATCTGGAAGAGATTCGTAATCACTGCTCTATTGTTACTCTGCCAAAGACTGAAATCCAGCACACACACACACTTGCAAGCTCCGTCACAACCCTGCACCGTGTGAATACAGGCACAACAAGATGATGGGCACCACATAAGCCCCTAAAAAGAAAGGTTTCAGAGTAGCAGCCGTGTTAGTCTGTATCCGCAAAAAGAACAGGAGTACTTGTGGCACCTTAGAGACTAACAAATTGATTTGAGCATAAGCTTTCGTGGGCTACAGCCCACTTCTTCGGATGCAT